ACATCACACAATCCACACCCCAACATCACACAACTCTGCATCCCAACATCACACAACTCCGCATCCCAACATCACACAACTCCGCATCCCAACATCACACAACTCCGCATCCCAACATCACACAACTCCGCATCCCAACATCACACAATCCACACCCCAACATCACACAACTCCGCATCCCAACATCACACAACTCCACATCCCAACATCACACAATCCACACCCCAACATCACACAACTCCGTACCCCAACATCACACAACTCCGCATCCCAACATCACACAACTCCGCATCCCAGTGTCACACAACTCTCCCTAGAACAACTGCTGCATGCTTCAGGCTATTGCCTAGCACTTGACTGCCAGCCTGCATCCATCACAGCATCCTTCCAGTGCCAGCTTTCCAAACTCACAGGCATTACCAGCAGCAGACACCTGAAAGAACTTGGCATCTACAGGAAGAAAGTAAATGCAGGAGGTTTGAGTACCTACCTTTGATTCTCAAAGGTGACTTTTAGACACAGCAGCTAATGAAGCATTTCAGATCCCAAGAACTCACATTAGATTTAGCGAAACTGCTGAAAATTCTCTGTTTCCCTGCAAATGAAGGCTCTCAGCAGTGTGACACACTACACAACCTTCAAAAATGGGGCTTGGGTTCCCAAGTAACTTGGCCAATTCGGAAGACTTTACCCATGACCACCGTTCATTCCCCTAAACCTTAAACTGCAGAAACCACTCCCAAAACCAAGGCTGGGAAACAAACTTGCAGCCGCTCCGGGCAGCTCAATGCTTTGCCAGTTGAGTCACCATAATGACCACAGAATGGATGCATGATAGGATTTTAATAGGTCAGACACTGCTGGTTTTCCTTTACAGTTCCTAAAACAACTCGGAAGGAGTTGAGGGAAGTCCGACACGCTGTTTACTTTGAACAGTCATCACTTCTGCTCCAGACGAATGCTGTTGTACCTGCACCTGAGCAGATGCTGCTTCTCTTCAGTCAAGGACAGGGCTTGACACACGCAAAGAGCCTGCTGGAATACCAGACATATCCCTTATAAACACGGCTTTGCTGCTCCTCTATTGTACTAGCAGCTTTTGCTGCCAAGCGGAGGAGTTAATCCTGCCCATGACTGTGGGCTGTCTTTGGCAAATATAATTGAAACTACAGTTTAAAAGTGTTCAATAAGCATTGATATGGTATCCCCACGTTGTTTTTTCCTGCTCTGCAGTTATGATTGTTAAGACAACCCTAGCAGTCTCATACACACAGGCATCCCAATGTGCTGCATGCTGTACAAATGGTGGCTGCTCAGATACACCCATAGAAGAGAGAACTCAGTTTTATTCCTCCTACTGACTTTCCTGGCCACACAGAACTTTTGTTCTCCCCACCATCACATTTATCATAGGACAAACTGTTCCTGGGCCTCCCCTGGGAAAAACAGAATGGAAGATAAGAGTTAAACTCTATTAACACAGCATCTGGCAAGTAACGCCCCAGCTCTCAAACACCAGTGCATGATTTCTGCTCTGCTCCCCACTTCACCCTTTTCCTCCTTCAAAACTGACCGCTAGTGCCTGCTGGGTGGCTTCAGCAGTGCCAGGCACTACACTTCTTGCTCTGTCCTTCCAAGACCATGAAAGGTGGTGCAGGACACGTGGAGTTCTGGCTACAAGGCAGTCAGTGGGACTTCTGGTTTAGACCTTCTGTAGTGACAGGATTTCAGTGATGTCCTATCCAAGTCTGAACCGGCAGATGTTACCTTCAAATGAAACACATCTGCCCCAACAGCAAAACCATTCTGATGCCTGTTACCTGTTTTGGAAGCATCCGGAGACGGAGGCCAACAGAGGGGTGAACAAGAGTGAGGAAGGATGAATACACAGAGAGCACAAAAGGACGTAACTCCATGTAGTAAGGAATAAAGGATTAGAAATAATAAAAATAACAAAATATTATAATAAATAATTAAATATTTATTATAATAAATAATATAAAATAATTAAAAAACTAAAACTACGTTCCTGTGCTGAACAGGTAACATGACGCAGCTCTGCCTCAGGAGCTCTAGGGAACAGTTTCAAGTGCTCTCTTTCCATATCATGCAATAACCCTAATGCTCTGACCTCTTCCAAACAGGAAGTTGCCCCATCTACTCAATAAAAACCTGTTAGTTTTCTTTTCTCTTCTCGTGGTATCAGCTGAGGGCTACACAACACCAAGAGAGGAGACTGTCTCTGCCCTCTGCGCTCATCCCCACAACTGAGTCACCTTATGGCTACGTTTTAGGAGTTTACTTAAAACACTGGCTTGATGCACATATGGAAATGCCACACTGCAAGTTACATGAATTTGAAACATATATCTACAATGAAAACTGGAAGTTTTGGGGTTTGTCCTGTGGTTATGAGCCTGCAAGCCATTCTACATAGACAGTTCCTTGTGTCCCTGATTAACCTCCATCAACTAACTTAGAGCAATGTCCGATGAGCTTCCACTCCAGAAAACACTCTGTGTAAGAGTGTGGTTGTTGGCCAACCCCGATTGCTGCGTGTAAGTTACATCTGGTAGGAGCAAAATGTGTCCATTTGTGAGATTTTAGGCTGAAACTTCCTTGGAGACCAGGACAGAGCTATTTCTCTTGTTGCTTTTGTAGTCACTGCCTCGGCGTGGTTTACCCTCTTCTTGTCAATGTCGAAGCGCAGAGGGGGAGAGGCTCGTTTCAACAGACAGGATAAGTCCCTTTGCTTCTGACTTCTGAAGGCTTCAGTTTATGACTCACTGTGTCCACAGAGAAGTGATGATCCCAACTCCAGACCCGATCCAACACACACTGAAATCAATGGGAGTCTTTCCGTTGACTTCAATGGAAGCTGGGTCACACCCTTAGCAGACGCTAGCTGTGCACATGAAGCCACCCTCCAGTTTTGGATGGCTGAAGTCATGGACAGCCTGGAGTCAGCGGGGATCCCTGAGGCCAGAGGTTGTCTACAACAGAAAACTAATACAGGAAAAGGCAACAGAGAGATGCTTCAAGGGCACCTGCCTCCTTACAGCCCTATCAGCCCAGACGGAACTGCATCCAGAGCAAATATTGATCAAAGCTGTCAAGAGCAGAACTTGGCAAAAGCCATAATCTGGCCCAGAAAATGTAGAATAATTATTCAATCTTAAAATAAAGGCTTCAAATAAAACAAACATAAGCTTGAAGAAATGAGGTCACGACAACTTAGAAGCTAGAAAAGACTTGCATCAGACTCTTGAGCTTGTCAAACATAACGGTCAACTTAGGGGAGTTTGAGCACAGCCTTTATGTTGCATGTTATCAAACCATCAGCAAACAGCTGTATGTTGCCTTTAACATACGGCTCCTAGAAGGAAACAGGAGTAAAGAAAAAAGCTCACGATGAGGGAAAACTTTGTTTGAAAATGAAGCATCTCAAAACAGTTTTAAGAGTGTTTGGGGACTGTCAGAGAAAGGACTGAGGCTTTGGGAAGATGAAAACAATGACTATATGATGTTGGCAAGAAATTGGTCATTGTGAGGAAAAAACGCCAGCAGCAAAAAGGAATATTGATCTCTTCAACAGCAGAGACCATTTAGTTGGGATGATACAGCATTTGCAGGCTGGCCTTCACCATGGTTTGCACGTCCCTGGGAATAAGGCACTTATTTGAACATCTTTTAGATGGGACAGGTGGGGGTATGGGCAGACTGGCTGCCCTCACACCGGCAGGTCCTGACACGGGGTCTGAGAGCTACTGATGGTTGGTACCCAGAAACTTCACACTCACTCAGGCCTCTCTGGGCTGATCGTTTCCTCCACCCAAGCTGTCAGGGCCTGAGCTTGGCAGATGGAAGCAAAGAGAGGCCCTGCTTCGGTCAGCTTTTTCCTACACTGATTTTTCAGCAATGACACAGTGATTTTTGATGGGTTTGTTATGGCCTTAGCAGAGGAACCCTGAATAACTTAAGAACGGGGAGGTCCTCCAGGGCTGGGCAGCCGGTGCAGTGTGTACCACGGAGAACAGTGGCATCCTGACCTCCTGCACTGATCACCTACCACTTGCAGGAAGCAAGAATGACCAAAGAACTGGTGAAATGTGACTTAACCTTATTAGCTAATTCCTGGGCTAGAAACCCCCCTGCGACATAATTCCTGTGTTTGAGAGTAATCTCTTCATCAGACCTCATTATACCCACGTTACCGCACAGTTTGGGCTCTGTTTTTGGACTCACTTCCCATTCCATTAAAACAAACAAAAGGAATGGGGAAAAAAAACCAACCAGCAACTGGGAGAAAGGAAAATCCCTGAAGGCAAAATGCTGACACTGCTTATCATAAATCTCTCGGGATATATAGAGTGAGAGACACAGATATACATTATATAATGAGATATATATATATCTTGATATAGAAACAGATACTAGATGTTAGGCATGTAGATCTAGATGTTGGATACCAATATAAAGATTTGATTTCAAGTACAAAGATTAGGTATAGATTAGAAATGATACTGAATATGGATTATGGGTATCTATTTAGAGATATTGTTATAGATTATATAGTATATAGAGAGATGTATAGATTAGCTATTAGGTACAGATGTAGATTAGCTATTACGTATTAGATCTACAGATTACATATTATATATTACATATATAGATATGCATGTAGGTTAGAGCCATAGTTTATATATATAGATATGGATATAGCTGATACGGAGATATAGATATACAGATAGATTAGATTATAGACAGACACAGACACACGCGTGCCACGGCTGTGAATCACGTCGGTGCCACGTTCCCTGCCCGTCGCTGATTCCCCCCAGCCGCGCCCCGCCGACCCCTCCGAGGGGCTCCTCCGCTGCCGGCCCCCTCGCTCCGTCCCCTCCCGCAGCTCCCCCCACCCCGTCTCTGCATCGCCCCAATTCCCCCCCCCCGGGAGGCGCCTCCGGCCCCGGCCGCCCCTCCCGGCCGCGGACACCTACTTCTTGCAGGGGATGAGCGCCTTCCTCTCCTCCAGGACGCGCAGCCGCTGGTTGGGGCCGTCGTAGGAGACGGCGGCCCTCGTGTTGCGGCCCGTGCCGTGCTCGTAGGTCACGGTGCGCCCTTCCCACTGCCGCGGCGCCTGGCACGGCTCGGCCCCGGCCCCGGCCCCCGCCGCCGCGCCGCCCCGCAGCAGGAGGCCGCCCAGCAGCACCAGCCCCAGCCCCAGCGCCGGGACCGGCCGCAGCCCCGCCGCCGCCCGCGCCATGCTCCGCGCTCCGCTCCGCGCACGGCCGGCCCCGCGCAGCGCGCAGGCGGGCGGGCACGGGCTGCGCCGGTGGCGGGGGCGGGAGCGGCCCGCCTCCAACCCCATCGCCTCCGCGGGGACGCGCGGGCGGCGGCTGCTGGGGGAGCAGGGGGCAGCGGGCAACGGGACCCCCCCCCCGGCCCTCCCGTGCCACGCTCGGTGCAGCCGGGGGGGGGTTTGCTTGCCCCGTGCCACGCTCGGTGCAGCCGGGGGGCTTTGCTTGCCCCGTGCCACGCTCGGTGCAGCCGGGGGGGTTTGCTTGCCCCGTGCCACGCTCGGTGCAGCCGGGGGGGTTTTGCTTGCCCCGCCGTGAGCGCTGCTCCTCAAGGGGTGATGCGAGAGGGGCACCGAGCCTTGCGGTACTTCTGGCGCCCCTGGGTGGGCTTTGTGTACCCCCAGGCAGGACGGGCTAACTGCTTTAGTGTTGGTGGCCCCCCACGCTCTGCCACCAAGCACACGCCTCCCCCTCATCTCCCCCTGCCCTCTCCGTTCGGCTCTGGATGATCTGCTGGCACACGGAGGGAGGAGAAGTCCGTGTCCCACCGGCCGCTGGCTTTCCGAGGCTGCTGCAATGAACCGCCACTGAGTTAATCCCGTTGTCTCCGCGGGGTCCTCAAAGGTGTTTACCCACGGTGGAGAAAGGGGACGGAGGTCTCACTTTAGGAATTTCTTCCTAATCTCTAATCTCAGTCTCCCCTCTGGCAGGTTAAAGCCATTCCCCTTGGCCTGTCCCTACATCCCTTGTCCCAAGCCCCTCTCCAGGTTTCCTGCAGCCCCTTCAGGCACTGGAGCTGCTCTCAGGTCTCCCCTTCAGGAGCCTTCTCTTCTCCAGGCTGCCCCAGCCCAGCTCTCTCAGCCTGGCTCCAGAGCAGAGCTGCTCCAGCCACTGCATCAGGGCTGAATGGTCGCGGATCACCAAGGAAATATATTAATATTAATAATAATAATAATAATAATTAATAATAAAAAATAACACCACCACCACCAAGAACCCAGTCCGGTCACTCTGCACCCCGGAGCTCCTCCGAACCCGCATAAAGTTTCTGCTCCGTGTCCATAAAGCTCATCCCTGCGAAGGGGTGGGGGGGATCCGGGTCCCGCGTCCCCCCCGCCACCGCCTCCTCCCGTCTGCCCGCGTCGGCAGACGCGTGTGGTTTGGGTTTGGTGCGTCCCGTCCCGTCCCGTCGTCCCCCTCCTTCTCCCCCCGCTTCCACCTGAAGGAATTTATGACACAGATGAAAACTGAACCGGGGCCGCGGACGAGAGACGCAGTGATGTCGCCGGGGGATTAAACGGGGTGGAGGTGATGTCACCGTGCCTGCACAGCAAAACACACACACACACACACACCCCCGGAGGAGCGGTGCTGCCAAGGGAGCGCGATCGGCCCCACGTCACTCGTGCCACCGGTATAAATGCGGTCCCGCGATGTCCATGGCTGTCGGCGCGGCGGCTCCCGACACTTGCCTGCAGCCGGGGCGGCGGCGGAGCAGGAGGAGGAGGAAGAGGAGGAGGAGGAGGAAGAGGAGGATGCTGCGCGCCTTGGTGGCGGTGTCCCTGTGGCTGCGGGTGAGCCCGCGGGCGCAGGGCGCGCCGTGCGAGGCGGTGCGCATCCCCATGTGCCGGCCCATGCCCTGGAACATCACCCGCATGCCCAACCACCTCCACCACAGCACCCAGGAAAACGCCGTCCTCGCCATCGAGCAGTACGAGGAGCTGGTGGCCACCGGCTGCAGCCCGGTCCTCTCCTTCTTCCTCTGCGCCATGTACGCCCCTATCTGCACCCTGGAGTTCCTCTACGACCCCATCAAGCCGTGCCGCTCCGTCTGCCAGCGCGCCCGCGACGGCTGCGAGCCCATCATGCGCCGCTACAACCACAGCTGGCCCGAGAGCCTCGCCTGCGACGACCTCCCCGTCTACGACCGCGGCGTCTGCATCTCCCCCGAAGCCATCGTTACCGACCTGCCGGAGGGTGAGCCCCGGGGATCCCCTCGAACCCCCACGCTCTCCCCCCGGGGGGCTGCGGGACCCGTAGAGCCCTGCCCGGGGGGACTCCCCGCTGCAGCTTTCCTCCCTCTGTTCTCAGATGCGAAGTGGACAGACTTCACGCAGGGTGTGCTGGTGCCCCCGGAGCCCGACTGCAGGAGCCGCGGCCAGGGTGAGCCTCAGGCACCCCCCAGCTCCCCTCCCCGGTGCAGAGCCCCCCCCGGCACCCCTCAACCGTTTCCTTTTCTCTTCCTTTGAAGAGCGATGCAGGTGCAAAAAGACAAAGCCAACGCTGTCGACTTACCTGGCCAAGAACTACAGCTACAGTAAGTGCAGGGGGGGGAATGCTTCTCTTTGCCCATCCCACCGCCTTCTGTGCCCCCCCACGAGTTAGGCAGCTGCCTGTGTGTCCAGGCCCCATCACCGTCCCAGCGCAGCCTTTCCAAGTGGGTTTTTGCCTGAGGACACCTCAGCCCTCCTCTCCCAAGCCCCATCACTGCGCACACACGTGCAGGCAGCAGCAGTCATTGCACAGGTTACGGTGTGTTTCTGATAAAGCAGATGTTGGTGATGTGAGCTGGCATCAACCGGTCGCTCTGCAGAAAGGGTGCCTGCTGCAAAGTGCAATTCAATCTAATGTGAGCAGGACCCTCTGCCAGCTCCTGCCTTCATCCAGCGGGTGGGATGGACAGGGGTTTATCACCTAAATAGAACTTGTAAATGTGAACGTACCGGAGGCAGGGTGAAAAGTTAGTGCTTAGAAATCCATATATCCATTTACTTACCAGCCACAGTTTCACCTGGTGTGCAGTTGTCAGAAGTTCGTTGAATTCAGGAACAATTTGCACCATCCAGCGAGGAGCTGGCTGATAGTTTAATCATACATTGCATGGCATATTGGCAATACAAGTAAATACTCAGCCCTGTTCTCCCTTCCTCCCCCTGCCTCCCTGTTTTTCTGATGCTGGGAGTCAGGAAGAACTCAGATTAAGATTAGGTAAATACCAGATCAAACATCTGTTTAAACCCCTATTAGCTATGAATTACCATGTAGTATCGTGGTCTTTTGCACTTTATGTTATTTTTCTCAGATGGCAGTCATTTCTTCAATGGATTTATTCAATTCTTCTGCAATTGGGTGATTATGTCCATTCCATTCCTCTTTGTCTGATAGCAGATGAAAGTAGGCTTGTAGTTGCTTCTTTGTTAGCATAGGAAAAAAAAGAACAATATCCAAGCCCAGTTTGGTGGGAAAAAATCAGAACATCTAACTTAGGTCATTTTATGCTTTTTTGTTATGGCATTTTGATGCTTTTATATCACATGTTTTTCTTATTGCTTAATCTACCTTGGTACAAGATAGTGGTATGTTCAGGTAGGACAATGAACTTCCACACTGGGCTGAAATATCTGAGAAAGCAGTGCTACAAAATTAGTATTCTGAAATGAAATAGAGATTCCATTGAATTTGTGAAATCAAGATTTTGGTTGTGGGAGGCAGGTTTTTATTCATCCTCCTGAAATAGATATGCTCCTATGGAAAATGAACTGAGAGACAAGGCAAGACAAATAATAAATAAAATCAGAGTGGGTTTTTTCCCTTTCAAATAATATATAAGTATATTTATATTATTTTATGTATGCATATATTATTTATATATCCTTTAAAATCATCTATATAAAGCCAAACAGTGTTTGTAGCTGGTCAGAACTTGGTTGCAATCAGACTTGCAAATGGGTTGTGAGTCTCCTCAGCTGAAATCCCTCATGTGTTCTGTGGCTGTTACACATCCTGATAAAGTTAGCACAAAACCCTCAGGCTGCACTGCAATTGCTGGCCTCCTCTGTTCTGCACGTGACGTTTGTTCCAAACGTGAGATCCATTGGAAGGCTTTTGACCTGGTGGCTGCCAGGGACAGCATCACCCTGTGGTACATACCCTTCTCATGCTTCTTTCATTGAAGAGTTCTGTGATCATAGGGCCCTTCCTATTGTGGCATTTTCTAAGACCTAGAGTTTTTCATGCAAAAACTATGCTTCATTTCTCTGATTTGGTGCCTGTCAGAAGAGAGAAGGGGTGAAATGCTGCAGTGCAGGGTTCAGAGGTACAAAGTTAGCCAGGGACCATCCTCAGAGCAATCGACAGAGTTTCACCTTCTTGCACCCACACAGGTAGGCAGTTTTCCTCAATAAAAGGTAAAAATATGACTGTTCGTGTGTTCGGAGTCAGAAGAACCCATTTCAGAGTCTGCTTTATATGAAGATCTTGCTACTAATGAATAATCCAAAGACAAAAGATGAAAACAAGTGCAGACCTTTTATAGAGCACATTACAGCATTCCTAAGCTTTTTGGGTTTTGACTGCTTGTTTCAAACCTTCCTTTCTTTCTTCTGTCTAAGAAAAGACTTTGGTTCCTGGATCTAACCTACAGGAAAAATGATTTTATTACTGAAAAGACTTAATTCACACTGTTTGTGGGGTAAATTATTCATTACTTAATTGGAAATAGCCAAATGTGGCTATAGAATGGGGTTTATTTATGCCGGGGGTTGCTCAAGTCTGAGTCAAAGGAGCTCTTTGTGTGTGTGGTTCCAGGAGAGATCACTTGGCCTGATCTGGCAGAGATTTAAGCACATGTTTAACTTCACAGTTGTCAACAGTCCTACTGAAAACCAAATTGGGATCAGGCCTCTGTTATTCTAAGCCACTGTACGTGCCCACACATGAAGCAGTCGCAGGTTCACAGCCAAAACAACAGCTTCCAATTGAATCAGTTTTATTTAACGCTGAGATGTGTTTAATTTCCTCAGACCGTTCGCTGTTCTCACGCCTCTCCTTTTCTCATTGCAGTCATTCACGCCAAAGTAAAAAGTGTCGAAAGAGGGAACTGCAATGAAATCACCACTGTGGTTGAAGTCAAAGACATCCTGAAGTCCTCGACACCCATTCCTCTGTCCCAAGTGCCGCTTATCACAAATTCCTCCTGCCAGTGTCCACC